GTGTCTGTGTGTGTCTGTGTGTGTGTGCATCCTACCGACTGCTCCAGGCTGTCACAGAGGTCTTTCAGCTGAGGGTCAGAGCTCGCTCTTTGACTCCTGTCTCTGCTTCTGGACTCGCCAGAAAAGTTCTTCTTCACACTGCCATCTGGCACACACACAGACACACACAGACACACACACAGACACACACAGACACACACAGACACACACACACACACGGTGACATTAACAAACGCTTGGGGGGGGAAGAAACTGACCAGCAAACGGTGATAATCTAAACGAGTTTCACAGAAACGTCACACATAAACCAGATTTGTGTGTAAACTGTCCCCACACGTTTATTTATTTCGTTTTGTTTACACATGTTTATTTATTTGGTTTTGTTGACACGTTTATTTATCTGTATGTGTGACGTAAAACAGACTTCTCTGCGGCTCGCCGTGTGCTGGACTCACTCTTGCTGAAGATGGCGGGGCTGCTGTCGTAGCCCCCAAAGGTGTCGGCTCGCCTGGGCAGAACCCCAGAGCCGCTTCCTTCCTCCCACCTGGGGGGCGCAGGAGGCCCCTCCCTCACTCCAGACTGCAGCAGGTTCTGAAGGTTCTCCACTGGAGCCAAAACAAATCAATAATATTACAACCTACTAATTCATGCACCAGCAGAGAGAAGAGAACGCACGTCTGTGTGAATGTCATTTAACTGCCTTTCAAACTTGGACAGATGCACGTGTTGTCATGCGGCCCAGTCCTACCCTCAGTGATCGCTCCTTTGAGCAGGACCTCCCCCTGCTGGAGGTCTGAGAAGTCTCCTCGCAGCAGAAGTCTGGAGCGCGACGCTGCGTCTTCCAGCCCTGCCACAGACTCGGCCATGTCCGCAAACAGCTGAAGCTTCTCGGTCAGCGCCTGCGTGATCGCTGCATCCCTCTGGCTCAGCCGCTCTACAGTTGGGAAGCACGACAGAAAACTCATTCCTGGACAAGCTTTAATATTCTGGACTTGTAGATAGTTGAAGGGTAAGATAACACACGAGCACCACCTTGTGGCCTCTAGTTACCTCGAAATTCTTTAAACCTGGAAGCTCGCGCCTCTTCTTCCTCACTGAACAGCCTTTCCTCGGTGTGAGGGCAGCTAATGGGGGAGAAGACAGATGAGGAAAGGCTCCTGGCTTTGATTGAGGTGTGTGAACACTTTCTTTGGATTAGCCTGAGTGATAACAGATGCGTGTTGGTGTGTTGCTGCAGCTACCTCTCTGCAGCTTGTCGTATTTGCGTCATCCATGAGTTTCGCTCCTCCTTCGAGGCCGTGTGGATCTCGTACATCTCCGGCTCGTTGGAAGAGGCACAGATAAGAAACATGGCTTTCTCCTCGTGGGCAACCTCCCTGACTATGAGCTTCTGGAGAGAGAT